ATCCCATTTTTCTTTCTTATCACTGTAAAGCACATATTGCCATTGAATTCCTGTTCAGTCTACTGTCTGCTCCACCCCACCTTAAATTCAATTACCGCTTATGCGCCTTCACGGGTGGCTGTATCATTACATTTCGGGATTCCTTAACGGTACTCGTGCGTGTTGCAGAGCAACAGTTTCCCAGGCTCCTTCTTGAAGGTGCCTTGTCTTTCCGAACAAAACCACTAATCATATCATTGGATTTAAACCCACGTTATATGTCACGTCGTTCTGACCATACCCATTCAGTCTCCGGAAACCTCCCCAGGCCGCTGTGCGTTCTGTAACAGTCTAACTTTGGTACGACCATAAACTGATCGTTCCCTGAGTCCCGCGCCATCGCCTGCGCGCGCCCCGCCGTCTTCCAGGTACGCTCCTTCGTTCAACCTCACACAACATGTGTGCCAAAGCAATGCTGCGTATGCATTTTCTTAGGGTGTCCTTGTGTACTGCGCAGGTGTCGCCGCCGTTGGCGATGCAGGACTCTCTCTTATTGTTACGTTATATTCCAACATGTTCGCCAAAGCAATGCTGGGTGTGTATTTTGTTAAGTGTGCTTGTGTGCTGTGCAGATGTCGGTGCTAGGTGTGGTGATGACGGGAGGTTCCTTTATTTTCCAACACGTTTGCTAAAGCAATGTTGAGTGTGCATTTTCTTCAGGAATTCCTTGTGTACTGCGCAGGTGTCGCCGCTGTCGGCGATGCTGGGCTGTCTCTTAATGTTCTATTATAATCCAACATGTATGCCAAAGTAATGCTGGGGTTGCATTTCGCTAAGTGTGCTTGTGTGCTGCACTGGCGGTGTCGCCGTGGGCAACGCTGTGCTCTCTTACATTCCAAAACGTATGCCAAAGCAACGAGGGTGTGCCTTTTGTTAAGAGTGTGCTTGTGCGTTGCGCAGGCGGCGTCGCCGTGGGCGGTGGTGGGCGCGGTGATGGCGGAGGACATAGGCGCGCTGCGCGGGCTGCTGGACGCAGGGGCCGCCCCCGACCGCCCGTACGGCCCCGCGGGCGAGTCGCCGCTGCACGTGGCAGCCGCCTGCTGCAGAAGCGACTGCGCGCTCGAGTTGATTCTGCGCGGCGCAGACCCGAACCCCTGCGACGTCAACGGGGAGACACCGCTGCACAGGTAGGCCGTTCATTGGACTGTGTATTCGTCTTCCATGGATTAAAATACTCTACAGATCAGAAATATTTGCTTTACACAAATTATAGTACAGAAGTGTTCAAAATATTTTATTAAAGACATTTTTCGTAAAATATTTGCATTAATTGTATTACTGGTTTACTGGTGTACATGTTACAGTCATATGTTTTTAATACTTACTGTTAGTGTGCGTGCATATGTTCTTAATCAACAACGTTATCCTGTGTGGCATAATGTTTACCAACTGAGTTTTTAATTTTATTGTCCCGGTACCAAACCTTCTCTTAATTGCCCCCTACTTCTTGTGTATTTCTTTATTCTTCTCTTAGTAATACCCCATAACTTTTCTACGGGGTTCTAGTCAGAGCTATTACGTGTTCAAGGTAAAAATTTTAAAAGCTTTTCTTCCAAATTCTTGAAGACACTTTTATCTTTGTGGTACTATGCTTCATCGTGCATAAAAATGCCATCTTCATTAGGGAACCACTGTAATTTGGGGGAAAAGTTCCCTTTCAAGGATTTTTTTGTATTGGTATTGCCTCATTGTTCCTTCGACAATGTGCAATTTGCCAGGTCCTTTCTCGGGCAGCACTGTTAACTGGGTTTCTCTCCAATTATATAATGGAACTTAGGAAACCCATGTTTTAGACTAATAATTTGAACACGTCTCTAATTCGAGAGAATCACAATATTTGGACCCTTCAGATTACCAGGTCAATACCTTTGAAAGCAGTAGTTTACAATCAAATAGAACTTCTTAATTATTAAACATTGTGGTGATCCAAGGGAGGCAGACTTTGTAGCTCATGCCCTGGGGGGCAGAGGCAGTCAAATCATGAATCTCTTCTCCAATTAGGTTGTTGAAGGTACATTTTTCCTCTTGAAATTTGTTATTCAAAGGTATATCTTTGCTAACACAGATGTTTTGAATGATATCGGTAAAATTTTCGAAATCTGAAAAGCTTTCGTGTGAACTCAAAATTGCGCATTTTAAGAAACTCTCAAACATTTGCTTGGAATCTCTTCAACAGCTGCTCCCAAATTTTCCATATGAAAACTGGTTTTGCTCTGATTTCTCAGAGTTTCGTATTCATGTATTAACTAGGAATACTATAAATTGAGAATATACGTGAGGGGTGCAGTTTTTTGTACAGTACATAAGCGGTATATATTTTACAGCAAGGACGACTAAACCATCGTATAAATAGATTAAATTTCTAGATTGACATTCTTTATTTATTCAATTTTTTGTGTAAAAAATATCGTACATTTTCATCAAAGCTATTTAATTTTGAGAAAAAAATGTTTTTTTTAGCAAGGGCGAATCTGAAAGACTTTCAAGTCAAATGAACTTCCAAAATTTATGTCAATTGATACTAATATGTTGAATGTCATTTAGACATGTGGATTCAGCATCGTGAATAATTGTAGAGATTCTGTACACCAAAAGGGTGAATTTTAATTATAAATCAACACCTGGATGTTATGATTTGCTGTATTTTAAGCTGTTTAATAAGAAGTGTTTTGAAGACGATAGCTCAAATAATATGAACACATAATTTGCAAATACATTTTTTTATAATTTCAGTAACGTTACAAATTATGTGAGAAACTATGCGCCACGAGCTTATGCCTTGAAATGGTTGTCCGGTACAGAGTGAAATCGGGCGGGCACGTGGGCTCCTTGCTAAGTTGTCTCTTTGGTGTAGCAAGACGGTTGGAGCTTGGGCACACGCAGTAACCCTCCAGATTTTAATTTATTTAAGCACTACCGTTCATTGAAGAGAGACAAATAAGCACAAGATAAGGGGGAAAAGTATACCTCGAAAAATGGAAACATAAGACCGTCACGTTCATGGAATGTTCTTTTGAAGGCACACGATCCTTTCTCCTCTATTCGCTTGCAAGGGGACTGTGGTAGGATTTTCCACTCTTCGGCGGGAGGCGGTGTGGTGCCCGCGGGATTGCCTTAGCGATAGCGTTAAGCTGACTACCTGTCACCGCGCTGACATACGAATCCCCTTTTCCATCACCCGGCGTTGAAATACACGCAAATTAGTCTTCAAGTTGTAGAGTTAAAGTAATTTTAAATTATTGTTTTGTAGCAAATTGCCCACGCATTTCTGTCATCTAAAAGAAAACTTATGCATAGAAATTGTTTTGTCTGAAGTCAGAAAATATTCTGAGTGCATAGCAATGTTCAACACTAAGTGTTGTCTCAGAATCAACCCTCAAAATTCAAATTGAAAAACCTCCATCTCCTTTGTCATTAATGAACACAATTATCAATAAACTAACTTAATGGAAAATGAGAAACAAGTGTACTATTTCCTCACGATTTAATTATCCTAATAGTGTACATGAAATGTGGCTTTCAGAATATCACACACACACAACCACATTACTTCCCATGATAAATTTCCTAGGAGAAAATGCAAAAGTTTTTGAAAAAATATAGTTTGCGTTTTTCTGAAAATGCAATCTTTTTTAGCTTATTTACACTAAAACTATTGACATATCGAGAAATTTCGTTAGTGAACGTGGTAAAATTTTGTGTCAATGAAAGAATTTCAATATATATATGTAGCATAAAAATTTACAACACTCAGGTTGTTAAATTATTAAGTTTGTATCAGGACGTAAGTATATTAAGTTAAAATTACGAATGAATATTTTTGAAGTTTAGGATAATTAAATCATTTTGATTTTTTTAACAAATATAGATATTCAAACAATTTTGGTTACATAAATCATGTAGATATTCATCTGTTTTCAATAATTTAATATTTTTGGACGTTTCGAGGATTTTGTGTATTTTACTCACATTGAATACTTCTAGTTATTTATGCAACAAGGGCACTATAAAGGATCTAATGATCGATCAAAAGCTCTCGGGGTTTTAATCCCTGGTCGATCATTAGGACCAGTTAACCCACGCGGTACATAGATTATTTTTTACGTAATTTTAATGATTTATATTTACTTATTTACTAAATATCTAGTTGTTAATTTGACTCGGTTTGTCTTTTCCTATTTAGATCTGATGGTTCCCTTCATTATCCCCTCCCCTCCATAAGAGAACAAGTAGCACTATTCAGCTGTTTTCATATAGCCCTTGTTACCACGAGCCTCTCGATTCAGGAACGTTGTGCTGTATCGAAGAAAATAACAAACAATATTGTATAAGTAAAATAATATAAAACCATATATGTACCACGGGTGTAAAGTGGTTCTATGATCTCGGGTGGTTAAAGCTCTCGGGCGGCAAAAAGCCCTTGTTCCAAAGGGTTTATTGGGAGCTCGAGCTTTTTGTCGCAACTCGATCATTAGAACCCTTATAATCCCTTGGTGCACAATACTACATTATGAAATAATGATGGGTGAGATATACTCGCGTGTGATATTACGATACAAGCAAGTATCGTAAACTTTACACGAGTGTATTACATCGAAACTTATTCGGCAATTTTTCTATGACTTATGGTAACTTTTGTAAGTTTAACTTTCACATTGAATCGTTTCGCGGCAGTTGTCATGCAGGATTCAGCCAAGGCCATCTTGCGGACGGCTCGGGACAGCACCCTACACTTCCTCACACGTGGCTTTGGTTTATTACTACGCTAGTCAAATAGGATATTCTAAAATATGCCTCGTAAAAATTACTACTAATAAAAATAAATTAAAACTGTGATGCGTAATATATTATTAAACGTATTGTAAAGTTCACCATTAAACGAAACATTTATTAGAACGATTCTCAATGATCAATACTTGGTTTGTAAACTTCCCTACGATTGGTCAGAAACTTGTATCATAATGAAAACTGTATCGTAATGGGTATCATTATGCAACGGGTTTTAGCCATCAGACATCATGACAGAATTATTGAATGGGAGTAGAAAAACAGCTATTCAATATTTCGTTTTGACAGTCTTTTGCCCTGCTTTTCTCTGATTTGTTCCCTCTCTGTCACTCTCTCACACCGTCCTTTTTCTCTTCGCGGCGTTTCTTCGTCCTCCTCTGATCGCACGGAGTGTTTTGTGCAGGGCGGCGACGCACGGGCGAAGAGGGGTGCTGTGGCTGATGGTGTACCACGGCGGCGCGAGCGTGGACGCGCGCTGCCGCCGCATGCAGACGCCGCTTCACCGCGCCGCCGCCCACGCGCATGCGCACTGCGCGGAGACGCTGCTGGGCGCCGGCGCCGCCGTGCTGGCCAGGGACTGCGAGGGCGCCACGCCGCTGCACCTGGCCGCCGCCGCCACCCGCGCCTCAACACTCGTGCGCACGCTGCTGCAGCGGGGCGCAGACCTCGACGCCCAGGACTACAGCGGTAGGGGCCCCTCCAACACGCGTCGTATTCACAATCGCCTTCCAGAGGTGTAGATGGATTGGTTGCGTAGACTTCCGCGGCCGGAGTTTGTATTGTCTAGGCTATTCGCGACGAGGCGCGTCACTGACATGGCGGCTAACGTTTCGGCCAGGGTATTGTGGTCTTCTTCAGAGAATACTGATCTGAAGAAGTACGCTCTGAAGTAATCTCGGTACGCTCTGAAGAAGGCCACAATAAGCTGGCCGAAATGTTAGCCACCCATGTCAGTGACGCGGCTCGGTCCCGGATAGCCTAGACAACGTTTAGATTGATTGATTCAGTGTTGTGTCGCGGGCACGACAACGGATAAGGGTTGAATTCTTCGGCTATGCCCGAGAACGCCGCGTCGTGTGGCTGGGGTGCCCGCCCTGCTGCGCACCCCAGCCCAACGACGGCGGCGTGCTTCCGGATAGGCCAAGAATTCATGGATACGAGCCGCGGAAACTTACGTATACAACGGATAAGGTTAATATTCCCGTAAGTGTAGTGCATGCTGTTTTCCTCGGGTGGTGGCGGTGGTCTCCCCTAGATGGTGAGATCTGGCGCCGACCTACCATCTGATAGCGGTTAGCCGCGCTGGATCTTGTCATCCATCGAAACAAAATACCATTATCACCCGAGTAAAAAACACACACTACGTTACGGGGCTAATGACATTAGGAAATTACGTGCCCGAAAACGCTAGTAATCTATCAATCATCCAATGTTTACATATTTCGATTACTATTTTAAAATTATGTTGGCGTATTTTTGAAAAATAAGTATATCATATTAGAGAACTTTTCAGTAAAAACTATTTCAAAACAAGGATGGCCTTCTTTATGGCGGAAATTATAGCAGACTATCCTAAACAGATCTTCGCATAAAAATTTCCCAATAACTCTATTCGTAAAACAAAACAAGGTATAATAGTGCTAGAGATTTTTTAGAACTGTTCTTTTTTAATCTTTATTAAAAAATAACCCTCAGAGTAGCAACTTCTAACTTGTATTCGCAAACAGTAAATTTTGAGATTAAAAAATCTAAGATTTTTATCAATCAGATTTGGGATTTCGTTGGCTATATATTTACACAGTAATGTCATAAATGAATAATATTGTTTCTGGAGAAGGAAAAAAAATCCCCCCTCTAGTAGTCATTGTCATAAGAGGAATCAATGAATGGCGTGTTTTGCAGGACGGCGACCTGTGCACTACGCTGCGGAGAGTGGCAACTGCAAGACCATTCGGCTGCTGGCGGAAGACTATTCGGTTGACGTCAACGCTCGCACCAGAGACGGCAGGACACCGCTGCACATCGCCGCTGCGGGCTACAGGTGAGTTGCGTCGGCAACACACACACACACATTCACTCATTGTACTCACGTAAAGTGCATTATAACTGAAGTAAATAGATAAATAGTTATTAGCTAAGAATAAAATTGTTCATTATGTTGTCAAGAAAATCAAATTCATGTTCGAAATATTAGCGCAAAAAACTCATTTAAAGCAAGAAGGTTAAAATTAAGTGATTATCTTATTTGTGTTTTAATAGAACGCTCATTTTCATTCGATATTTTTAATAATCTAATGTTTGCGATGTGTGCAAAATTTTGAACACGCTTCACATTTCGATTACGCCTAAAAATGTGGTTATGACTTCGCGTCACCATATGTAATGCATAATATTCATATTTGATACTAGTATATCTAACACATCTATAGTACGTCTAGCACTCTGGAATTACGTACAAAACTTAGGCTAGGTAAAATTACGTTTATAGAATTTTTAACTGAGAAAGCAAAAACGTTCGATGTCCAGAAGCTTCAAATTTTGAAAAGCAAGCAAAAAGATTATACATTTCAGTCATCGATCATCTTTCACAACATAAATAGTTTAAAGACACTGTAAAGACGTCACAGAGCTCACGGACAACGACCGTTAAAATACGGAAGTTGATTTTATATTTTTAGAACACTGTTGAGTTTCCCGCCGTTAACTCAAAACCGGCAAAACGTGACATCGAACTTTTTTGTTTACAGCGATTTCATTATTTTGTAAGTTAATCGAGGGCAAAGATGTGAATTCTTTTAGACATAATTTATTCGTTTCCATTGAATAACAAAGACGGGTTTCACCGAGCACTCGCATGCGCAAAAAGTGTCTGGCACCCAGACGCCGAATTTCGATTGGACGCGTTCGCGAAATCTGGTATCATTCGTCCAAAGGAAGCGTGTAAAACGGGTCTTAGGTAATCGTGTGAATGTCCAACTCCAGAGTTCATTTTGCTACAAATTATCACTAGGATTACACGCGTAACATTTTCATTAGTACGCCCAACGTTAGTACGTCACGTATTTTGTTTATTGCGTCAAATACTTTGTTCAGTAGGTGAAACACTTTGTTCAGAAGATCAAAGATTTTTTTCAGTAGATCAAACACTTCATTCAGTAGGTCAAACACTTCATTTAGTACGTCACGCACTTTGTTTAGAATTTCATACTTTTTGTTTACTGCGTCAAAATTTTGTATATTAAGGCAAATATTTTATGACGTCATAAATCTGGATTATTACGACCAATACTTTGTATAGTACGTCAAAAAATGTTTAGAATGTGAAGCACATTGATTAGAATGTCAAACATTTAGTTTAGCTTTGTACGCTAAACCCTTCCGTTACCTCTAACTACCTGCAACTACTTTAAAATTACCTCCAATGTTTTGATTGTTAATCAAACTTTTTGTTACGTTTTGTCCATAAATAACGTAACTCTAGAGAAGAGGGAGGGGGTTTAAGGCAGCATTACGCTGCGTTACGTAGGGGTAAGGGGTATTAGTTAAACGTTACGTAACATTGATATTAATTTTTAAAATATTTCAACATTTGCAGAAATAATTCCTTTTATTCAGTCTTATAATAAAACATTACCATATTAACAAATTAAAAATTGAAAATATAATATATTAAAGAAGTTATATTGCACACATTGTTACAATAAATGAAAATATTTTTTCATCAATGGTATATTGTTGAATCTTTGGGGGGAAGGTAGCTTGTTGCAAGCGTTACATAATTATTAGAGTGATGTTCAAGTACGTGTCACAGGTGCGTAACAGGAGGAAGAGGGGTATTCAAAATACTCCATATTTGAGTTACGTAATTTATGGATAACCACCTTATTATGATCTAATCGTTATTAGAAGGGGGTTCAAGTATGTGTTACAGGTGCGTTACATGGGGAGGAGGGGGTATTCAAAATACTCCAAATTTGAGTTCCGTAATTTATGGATAACCCCTTATTACGCTCGAATCATTGTTAGAAGGGGGTTCATGTACGTGTTACAGGGGGAAGAGGGTGTATTCAAAATACTCCAAACTTGCGTTACGTTATTTGTGGATAACCATCTTATTACGCTCTAATCGTTATTAGAAGAGGGTTCAAGTACGTGTTACAGGTGCGTTACATGGGGAGGAGGGGGTATTCAAAATACTCCAACTTTGAGTTACGTAATTTATGTATAACCCCCGTATTACGCTCTAATCATTGTTAGAAGGGGGTTCAAGGAAGAAGAGGGGGTATTCAAAACACTCCAAATTAGCGTTCCGTAATTTATGGATGACCTCCTCATTACGCTTAACATATAGGAAGTCCCCAAAAGTGTATTTCTTGTCTGATGTCGGTTGCCTTTCGCATCTCTCAGCGCGAGGTGCGTGGAGGAGCTGGCGCGGCTCGGGGCGGACCTGCACGCGCGCGACCGCCGCCGTATGACGCCGCTGCACGTGGCCGCTGCGCACGGCCGCGCCGAGGTGCTGCGCGAGCTGCTGCGCCTGGGCGCGCGCACCGACCTGCGCGCGCAGCACGACATCACGCCGCTCATGATCGCCGTGGCGCGACGCGACCAGGAGAGCGGACGAGCGCTCATCGAGGTAAGATTAGCGCCAGCGCCCTATGGTGGCCAATATAAATTAACCAACGTAATAGAAATGATTATTAATAAGAAAATAAACATCTGGAGAGATGGTTCAAAGCATCAATTGATATCACTGCAGTCCCTCAAACCGGGAGATCATAGTCCCGAGTCCCAACGGTGACAGTATTTTCGACAGTCTTATCAGCCAGGTCGAATTCAGTCGCGGTCTGGAGGAGAATTCTAGCGGCCGGCTGCTCTGATCGGTAGTTTTCCGTGTTTTTGTTTTGCGATCAACACCACGCCAATGCCGAGGAAGTACGAGATCTTTCTTACCTCTTCCTTGTCCTATCATCTCCCCTTACACACACACACACACATACACACACTTACACAAACTCGCAATACACAAGCACACATGCCGGGAGACCGGTCGGGAACTTAGAGCTTGTTCCAACAGGGGAGGTGTTGGGAGATACCTAGACGTCAATTCATGAACTACCCATGAGAGAAGCCAGCCGCGAGATACTCCTTCAGACAGGGGCTGAATTAAATCCATCTAGTGTCGTGAATCCGCTACCGTTTGGATTCGAACTCTTAGCCACGGGCAACGAAGATGCAGAACAAACGGTGTGGTCGCAGAGCTATATCAGCTCGTCTTTGCGGTTCAAAAATGAATATTAAAATAGTTTTACGTATTTATAAACTAATATAAACTTTCTTAGACGTAATTGTTTAAATCTAAATCAAACAGCGGCCCCGGGTTCGATTCCCGGGCAGGCAAGATTACAGTGTGCGTTTTCCTTGAAATGTCCCAGTATATGTTACTGTGTGACGATGAGAAAATTTACTTCTCGGGCTGAGAAGACCGGAATACGGCGAGGGGATGTCTTCGTGCTAACCACACAACCTTTAACCATTGGCCACGAGGCTGGAACATCGCCGGTAGGCGTGTTCACGGGCTGTCGCGTACACAAATTAATCAGACTCTAATGCAATCTGCATCACAAGGCTTGCCCAACGGTCTGTTTTCTGACTTTATAAATACGCATCCTTACTCGAAATCATCATGCAGAACTCGAAAACTACGCATCTTAAGTCTTTTAAGTCTAGCTTTCGCTTTGGTATCTACGAGTCCTGTTGCTTGCGTTCTGAATGAAGTGAAATCCTTTTGAACTTCTGATACTATAATTTTGGTAATGTATCTCTGTTGCAAACTTCAATATTAATTAGAGAGGTCACAAATGTGCAGGATTAGAAATTGACGCATTAAATAAATCCTTTATGTGCGGTTTAATCACATTTAAGTATTTCTGTTAGACTATTAAATGCCTCCTGAAAATCACTAAAATTTTTAATTATATTTTTAGTAATGAAAGTGTTATTTTTAGTAATGAAACGTTTCCCCGACCTATTGGCAAAACTCCAACGGTTATCCCGTAAGTTAACGTCTGATTTACAATTTTCGGGAACATACACTCAGCAAATTCTTATTATTGTTCGCAGGCAGGAGCAGATGTGGACGCTTGCAATGGGATGGGATATTTAGCCTTGCAAGAGCCAAGGCAATATTTATCAGAATCGGAGCCAGATGAAGAATATGAATTTTAAGTTTACTCCTGCAGTTGCATCAACATTTTCTTTTCTTTTTGTAAAATTTTCTTTTGACAAGAGCAATACTATTTCTTATTGCTGCTTTTTTTTTATTACGAAAAATGTTTCTCAACGTTTCACTCCAAGTATTATATACTTCTTTTTATTTTAGTAAAATGTGTATATTATGGAAATTTGTAGTATTCTGAAATTATTTTTAAAATAAATATTTTACATTTCGCTTTTTCGTAAAAAAAACTCTACAACTGGAAAACTTGAATTTTTAAATTGTAGCACAACACGTCATTAAATACGACTCCCTTTGTGCATGAAATGTTGCATAATTCCAATTCGATTCCAATGTTGCTACTGAGGGAGAAGTTTTCTCTTCAAACGCAATGGTTCGACATTCAAAACCATTCAGAGTGCATTTTTAGTTGTGGCGTTTTTTTACGAGGTAACGCTTTGCAAAAAAAAATTATAAGTCAATGAATTTATAATTTATTGTCCAGGATTCTTCAATATCCCAATTCTAAGACAGACTTTGTTTAGCAAAACAGGAAGCTTCAGTATGTGGCTAAATTTTGAATCTTTTAACTGCCAATGGATTGAAATTATATCTTGTATATTTTCTTAATTACCAAAGATTTTCTTTTATGTTTCAATAAAGTGTTAAGGATTTTTGTCGATTTGTAAATTTTCTGTATTTTTTATTTTTAATGTAAATTTGTATGTGTAATTTTTTTATATTTTTAATGTATTTTACTGAATATAATTTTATTTTTGTAAGGAATTGCAAAACAGCATTTATACTCTTTTGATGAAATATACCTTCACACACTCCATATTACTTTAATGTAAATTATATTTCTAACTGATATGAAAAGGTCTGTTCCTAGAGTCCTGCCATTAGAATTTGTGTAAATAAAGGTATATACTACGTTTCCCATGATTAATATTTTCTAATATCTAACTACGAGTACATCAAAAGATTTGAATCCTCCAGTTATTATAATGAAAACACCTCAAGGGGCGGGAATGTAAACCAAAAGTTTTCTCAGGTTATAAAGAAGAGTAATAATCGATCAGTAAGAAACCAATAATAACTCATCAGAAACATTTTATCGCTTGAAATAAGGTTGTCAATTTACTTTAGTTTATGCTGTGGAGGTGTAATATCTAATAACGGCTTCTATGCAAAATGACGCCGAAGTATAAATACTCGTACGGTTTCAAATACACAAGCGACTAATGGCCTGCAGCTGCAAAATTTCTTTTGAACAAAATAACTACAAAAATGTCTTTCCAATAGAAGGACGGCCGGAAATAACAAATAAGAAAGTCTCGTTTAACATTGGAATTAATGAAATTTAATACAAAAATCAATATTCCTGAAAACTGCAACAACTTAATAGTAGTGTACTTCCGACATGTGTGATATTGTTGTGAATGTCAGTGTAAATGTCGTAAGGGAAGGCAACAGAATGGAAGAGGAAGGAGATATCGCCCGTGGTGTGTGGTCTGTTTGTTACGGTACTACTCTGTCAATCACTTGGTACAGAGAGAACAAACAACTGTGCTCCGACGTAAGCAATGGTCGTTAAGATTCTCCTCTAGACAGCGACTGAAGTCGACATGATTTTGTGGAAAGTTGTCGAGATTTCGACGGGAACAAACGTTTGGGGTCCCCTGACACCGAAAACCTTTTTTTCGACCGTCCGTCTATCCTTTATGAACATAATGGATAAGGCCTGAATATGGCCAAAATTAAATAAGGTCTAACAATATGGCCTAAAATACGGTTAAGGTTTTTTACAAACTGAATACTCCTCGGCCGATATGACCTCATTTGAAGCTCTACTGGTTTGAATAACCTTCTTTAATTTAGGGTACACTTTACATAAAACCCCTGGAACACTTTAAAACTTTTGAAATTATGAATGAAATTAACTTATAAAGATGGCATACGTCTGTCTTTTATTGTTAACTCTGAATTTTTGAAAACTGGAATATTTGGAATTTTTAGGCGCCTTCCTACAACTACAAAATTTTAGAGATTTTTACTTTCAATAAAATGTGTTCTCCGTAATTATTACTTTCATTAATATCCTGCACATTTTCTTGAAAATTGTAGTAGATTTCGCGCAATATTGCGTGAAATATGTGCAATAGTAAAAATATCAAAAACAATAATTTCTCAAAAAGTCTGCAATTTTTTTTCTTGTACGTTTGGTAGGGATATTACTAAATTTACTGAATAAATGTCAGTTTGCTCAAAACTTTCTTTTTTTCAAAAATTACACAATTGTAAATTTTTGACATTATCTCAAGTTGTTAATATTTACAATATGGACGATTTGTATACATGATTGCATTTTTTAGTAGTACTTTAAATAATATCTGATAAATTGATTGAAAAATGTATACGTTTTCTGTGAAAGTGAGGTAAAATATCTCCTTTTTCAGAAACACTCAAACGCCATTTTTCCAAAAACCGATCGAAATTTATAAAAAGTACTTGTTGTACGAATAGGGTTAAATACACGGTATAAGATGGCACAAAAATCATTTTATTGTAGTATTTTACTTTTCAAATTAATCAAATGTAGGTTTTTTAATATCTAATCGCCGTTTATATGCACATTTCCAGCGATTTCCATACATTATTGTATTTTTTAGTAGAAGTACGTCAAATGACTTTCAATGTAGTTTTTAAAAACTCAAAAGTTTGCTGTGAAAAATATCTTCAAAATGTTCATTTACAGTAACACTTAAACGACATTTTTTTAAAGCGGCTTCACATTTTTCAATGAAAATTGCCTTCTAAGACGAGGGGTACTCTCTTATAATATTCGTACAATAATATTTCAGTTCTACCATTAGGAAAGCGAAAAATAAGTACTTTGGATGGCGATAGATGGCCGTTGTCAAGACGATGGGGAAAGACCGTAGAGCTATCAAAGAAATTAGAAAACTAACTAGTACGAGAAGGTATGCGCCATTCTGTAGAACCACTATTTCTTTCAGTTTCTGCGCACATCGGATCCTATACTCAGTGAATTATTGGCATCAATTAGTGATATAGGTTGTCCCGCAACAACCGCAGAATTTCGCTTGCGTCCGGGGCCAAGCTGAGATAGACAACGAGACACTCATAGAGAGGCAGACCGATAGACGGAGTATCGAACGTTAGGCCACAAACCAATTTTTCCCAATCAAGGATCCAAAAAGTGTGAATTCCGACTACACTACCTACGCGAGAAGGTAATTTCGGTAGGTTAATAGAGGAACGTACCCAAACCCGGGCCTCCATTTCCTTTTCGAATATTTTTTCATCTAATTTTCTGCACAATTAAATGAAAATATATGCAATGCATTCCTTACTTACTTATACAAATGTTATATTTTACTTAAAGTTATTTTCCAACTAGTTTACGAATAAAATGAGTTTTCGTAAACATTTAATTTTAAAAAAAAGGTTTCTTAATGTGATTTCCGCGCAAACGTTTTAAAAAATGGGTAAAAAAGTAAATAAAACATTTGTAAAAAGATTGAACCCATATATATATATTCAAGTGCTACAAAAGTCACGTATGTACGCAGGTTTTTCCGCCCCGCACATTCTACATGGGCCCAGAGAAGAACACATTAGACACATCACCCTTAGTTTTCCTACAGCCCTCTGAAAAATTTCACACAGCAAAACATGCACCCTGCATCTTCTTAATCGAAGAGGGAAATATCCCTGGCAGAACTTCCAATTATTGATAGGCCATATGTCATGTTTAATTTCTCGTCGGAGGTGGAATCTTCTTTTTGTTTTTGTTGAACTTCAAGATTCTCTTAAATATATCTGTTCGAATTCCTTGGAATTAAATTCTAAAATGTTTTTTTGATATCTTTCTTCTTCCTGCTCTCTAAAACGTATAGGCTTCAGAAGAGGCTCTAACCTTTTATTAGACGCCCAAGTTATTAACGAGTTCTAAATACCTTAAACATTTTTATTTTATAAGCCGAACACTTGGGGACCTACGTTAGAAACTTCCAGGGGCCTTGGCTTATGCGTGTTTATATTCAATTTACCTGTAACGTTTTAAGGTAAGTAAAGTAAATTTCATTGCCCTTACATAAATAGTTTGTAATGCCATAAGGTAAATGTTAGAGGAAAATAAGGTAAAGCTTAGAAGACTTACCGATGAAATCATACGTATCAAGTCTAATTGACTTCTGAGAACAAGCACTTGAAGAAACTTTGCTTACTATGACCTACTGTCCGGCAACAAGTGAAGAGGAAGACACTATCGTCTTGAAAAATACTACAATTTTAGTACGTTTCCAATAGACATCAGCACTCTACACAGCAACAAAACAAGGGGCTCGCATTGGAAACCAGACCCGACTTTAAGTACTTTCCTCTACATCCTAGAAATATTTTGTATTTCAGTACCAAAGCTCACAATCCGAGTTATTCTCTAAAAGTAATAATGCTGCAACTGCACATACTTTATCGCAGTATTTCCAACTTTCAGAATTTTCGCAAAATAAGGATGTTCAACAAAAATGTATCATACACTAAACAGTGTCAGTTTTTCTATTCGTGGAAAGGGTTTTAAGAAAAATGTTGTTTGTAATAAAACCATGTCATTACAATTTGCAGAATTTTTTAAGTATAAATTACGCGAAATCTTTTCGATTTTACATTATATTCGTAATTTTAGAGACCTTTTTTTTAGAATAATTTTCTATAAGAAAAATGTATAATATGTACAGCTCATTTGCATTGCTATTTTTTGCAATTTACAAATATTCAGAGGTCACCGCCTAAGAAAGTAGCACCATTCTGCACCCTCTTTTAATACACGCAAAGAAGAAATTTAAAGAAAAAAATTGGAGCCGCTTTTAAGAGAATGTGATTAAAAATTGCTGATATTTCACGCAAAATTACACGAAAACTTGTCATATCTTCGAAAAATTGTACATAACTTCATTTTCGGATTTATATTTGAAAAAAAATTAGGAAAAATGCAAGAAGACACCGCAAACATGTTGAGGCTTAGCAATTTTAGTAAAAAAAAAATTTAGGGATTTTAACGAAACTGAAACCGGAGTAATTTTTTTAACCGTCCTTGACACCATCTAAAGGCGGTTAACCACAATACATGCATTTATACAAAAGCGCAGCTTCACATTAACCTAATTCAATTGGTTTTTTAATAGGAAACATCCGGCAAGCGCATTTTCACATGAAGCAATAATTTTTCGTAACATTTCGATTACGTTTAGCACTTCTATTCCCCAGGCCGCCGTGCACCAAGGCACCACTTTCTGGATTAGAGGCGAAAGGTAAGCGGAGTCGGTGAAAGTTGCGCGTGTTAACAGAAGCGCTGGGCTCCACGGGCGGACAAAGGGCTCGTGCGGGATCATATTGTCACGCCTCCCTTGATGGGTGAAAGTACAGTTGGTGTACGACCTGCGTTCTTGAACAAGTACTTTTCCCTCGCCATTCTACCTTTTTGTAATAGAGCTTCTACCTAATTACAGGTATTACCTACCGCGTTTGTGCCTTTCAACCGGACTGACAAGGGAAAGATATAGAAAGGCACAGTCGCGGATCGGGTGAGTCATTACCTGAGTCAACCCAGTCCCGTTGTCACAGGTAGCGAGGGGTAAATTTAAATTTCTTCTGATAACGGCGTGTTTTTCCCTTTTTCTTAGCACGCAAGTATTTAAGCCATTGCAGGTGTTCCTGGCATGCTTATGGTTTGTACACGCCTATAATAGATATATTATTTATTTGGAATATACTGATTAATAACTATGCAACCTTTCGATATATGTGCCGTATAAGATGGGTCAATTTTGCTAGATATACATGAAGGCTGGAAAAATACTAAAGCAATGATAAATATTTTATTTTCACTGATAAATGAAAGTTTTTAATTTTATTATTCCTACTATTCTCAAACTCCGCGAACCGACTGGGTGCTCATTATCTGTGGGGCTCTGAATACCACACATCTAACGTCAGGCGACGAGGAACAGCGAAGTTTCAGCAATCACGAGTACTGTTTCAGGGCAGACACTTTTTGCTGCTCAGAAACGCTGTTTGACACGCAATCGGCGGCAACATGTTTGCAGGATATTCGTTTCCTACCAATTCTTTAAAATTTGATTCAAAATGTCAATCTTTTTGATTTTAAATAAATCGTCGACCCATGTCTTTCCTACGTCAAAGTTTTGTTTTACACATCTAAACAACCCAATATCTTGTATTCTATCTGAACATACGAATACTGATAAATACAAAGATTCACCCTCAAGTTATTTAAAGGTCTATTTTCGTGAAAAATAATACATTAAAGAATACATATTTATCTTCAATGTTTAAGATGTAGATCGGGTTCGAGAATTTTTTTTTGCCTTTTTCGAAATTTCCATATAAGGATAACGATGTAATATTTATTTTATATTATATTTGCCATAAACGTAAGAAAATATAAGTTGATTTTTTAAAATAAATACTTGTTTTCAAAATTCATTATTTTTTGCGGAATATTTTTTTAAAATTTAGAATAAATAAGTTTAAAAAAACACGTAAAAATGTTCGCAAAATAAGTAGAATATGTAATACCCTAAACATATGTAGATGTGTGTAAAGAAAAAATTGATATATTTTCGAATAGACCTTAAGTGTCACGATATTCAGAACTGAGTACAAAAAGACAAAAATTATATGATTACATATGAAACCAGAAATACAGTTCACACTAGTTACTAGAACTTTGGTAGTTCTTAGAGGTGCTTGAGAATGCGTCACTGGAATTAACACCGATAAACAAAATTATGTTGATATTCTGAACTATTTTCACAAATTAAAAATGATTGTATCCTTAAATTTAACGACTGCTATTATTCTATTCCTATCTTCACGCCCGATTCCTCTTGCGAGAGACATGTCTATTTACATTACATGTACATGTTGCGCATCCTCTGAAATTACTCTACTCTTTTCTTTAGGTTACTGCGATATTGTAGCACGTATCAATTATTCCTGACCTAAAATATTCATTTTGACTAAAGTATTAGAGAATTTTTGTGACCAAAAGTTTACGAGTGTTTTGAAAAATGACCAAGAACAATTCCACTAACAAAATCCATGTATTTTGTCAGTATGTCATTGTGAAAGCAACAGTAAAGAACTTGCGAGCATTTCTAGAGCTCGGTCTGGTTGCCATCTTTGAATTTTGTACTCAAATTTTCAGCATACATTGATGTAAGTATATGAGCTTGATGTAAATATAAATTCTTGAATTATAATTGAGGGAATGTTTAGTAATTGTGACCTATTATTACGCTTAGCAAATAAAGTATATAATGCAATTAAGAATACCAAAATTATAAGAACTATTATTGCATGTAGTCTTACAAGGTAAAACTAAAAAAGTTTGCAATTAATCATGATATAACGTGAACGGTGATCCTTTTCTAAACTATACTGACTGACGTTACACGATAAATATTATTTATTGTGTTATACTAAAGTAAGCTAGTAACTTTATATTTATTGATCAAAAAGGTAACGAAATTAGCTTCAATCGATACCGTCTATGGGGTAACAATAAAAGTTATTAAAGTCACTAAACAAATAGCGGCTTACTTATATTACAGTTTTATTGTCTCTGTTATCAGGTCTCACTTGAACTCTATTTGTAACTTCAAAAGCACTCTGTTTAGACAACACCGTATTATTTATTTACGAAAACAAAAACCCCTTATGTTTGTATAGGAATTTATTCTGTGAAGAATGAATATGGACAGATTTTATACTCGTACCTACTACTTCTTAAATATCTACTTCTTAAGTATCAAAAATAGTATATTATTAATTAAATCAATAATTCGTCCTGCCCTAACATACGTCGGCCCTGTATGGCACAACTACTCAGCGAGTCGCACCAAATGATTCCAAACACATTTTTACGTAAAATCATTAAAGAACCTTGGTTCCTTACCAATAGTCACATACATTGGCAAATTCACAAAATCAGAATCCGTTCCCGTTTCCCTCAAGACGATTTTCGACCTTCATAGACATTTGTACTCGGGTGTATGGAAAAGAGTAAAGATGCTATATTCAAAGCCTTTTTACACAAAATCGGGTCAAAATAACATGTAAGATAATAAAAAATAATTATAATCACCAATAGGCAAAGGTTAGAGTTATCTGAAAAAAATAACAAAAATTAGTTTAAAAATCCGTAATTTTCATATGAATATGTGAAAACCAGACCGGTATAAGTGAATATAGTTTATAAATTCCAAAGAAAAAAAATATTTTGGCTATATTTCAGTGGAAATGTATTATTGAGAATTTAATGAAGAATTGAAATGCCGTGGTTTTAGTGATGAAACAAAGCACCACGACTTTACAGTGATATTAACTTAAACAGATTATTCATAATTTATGAAATGACGTTTATATCGTTCTGATTTAAAACCTTCTCATATCAATTAGCAGCTCAACTTCCTGAAAAGCATGCTCTACTGAACAGGAATAAATTTTAAAAACTGTATTTATTTATTGTTAAATGACAATGACATGAAACGTAATGAGATATGTTAATATTTTTATAATGCAAAGTTGCAAATGAAAGTCTAATCGCTTATGACCGTTCAGTTGCACAGAGATCTAATATAAATTATATTAATACAAAATACGCAATGCAAAAATAATATTTAAATTTATTACCCCAGTTTTAAATTAATATAAACATCTTAAAAACCAAGTATATCAGTGCGAATCGGACATTTTCAACACTTATGTTTCATTGCCTAAGTTGTCGGCTACAGCCAACTACTACGCGAGAGGCAATTATTCGCCATCTTGGAACAGAAAAATAAAACCCTTGTTCCTTAATCCCTTTCTCTTTCCCCCTTCTCCACCACTTCACTTCAGAATACCCCTTGCTTCGGCAGCCATGGCGTACCTGCGTCCCCCACCTGTGAATCCCCAGCGTCCCTACAGCCATGTCCCTTGGAAGAGCTCTAAACCAATCACGTGGTTCCCTACGTCATCACCCTGCCGGCCCTCCCGGATAGATAAATAGGGCAGGACAGACAAATTCTTGGCAGTTGCTTTGAGTGAACGTGAAGCAAGTACAGCGAGTGCAAGTTCTTTCCTGGAGTGTGTGCGAGCATCGTTGGAAATTACCACCATGGTAAGAACCCTTTCTTTTTTTTTCATCTGATTATTTCAACTACAATAATTCATGCAAGCTTTTGATATTTAAGTAATTTTTTCTTTTATTAATGGTAATGTACGTTAAGTGTTATGTAAGATTAATTGAATCGTTAGGCATACGAGATTTTTGAATACTTGAAATTCAACCTTAATGCTCTGACATTACCTCGAAATATTGATGAATAACAATTGTTTAGTTTGCCAGACAATTGTTTAGTTATTGCAAAATGTGTAAATATTGAAAAACTATACTTCCCGTGAAGTTTAATTATGTATTTATGATAGCGGATGTTATCAGAACAAATAATGTCGCACTATTTAATTTTTATTAACAATATATTTCACGTTTTACTTCATCGAAATTATATGTAAGAGTAATAACTCGTTTTGTGTTTTAGTGTGAACTGCTGTGTAGCTTACGCGGATACCGGACTCTTTACAACAACATCCGCCGAGCGGCCCACGATTGCAGGGATGCTCTTGCAATCGCCATCTCGAGAGAGGTAAGCATCAACTCAATCGTTTTGGTAACTAGAATTCTTCTTCTACGTCTGAGATGTGAACATGTATTTTCCACTTTTTGCCAAAATTTTAGAGCTTTTGATCTAAGCTGTTGAGGTTCTCTTCTCCCGTATGTATTTGTACATATTTTTGGTTAGCATTCTCTTATGACGTTGCCATAAAAAATATCTTTCAATTAACAAAGATAATTATTATTTTAAAAAAATATTTTTCTCATAGTAATTTCACTATATTATTTGTAATTAACCGTTATTTTCATGGAACAATAATTTTTGTAACCACAATTTCAGAAGAAACAACGGTTCTTTCAAATGACTTTAAAAGAGACATATTTTACTTCGTAATGTACTCCAAAAATATTTTTAACTTCTTTAACTAACTTTTCTAACTACAATGTTAATACTTAATTTTTTAATTAGTGTTTTGCTTCTATTTAGTGTATGTTATAACACGAGCAATACAGTAACACGTGTCTAGGCAACATGTGCAAGAAAATTTGGTTTTATGTTCAGTGACTACTGGTAATTTAAGCAAACTTAGTTTTTCAACAAAAAAAAAATCTGTGGTGGGGTGCATGAATTCAGGATCATGGTGTAACGTGTCGCTAGAATGTCTAAGTATGGGTAATGCGTGTCTGATGTGTGGTTAATTTGTGGGCAATGTGTGTCGACTGTGTAGCTTATGTGCGGCTAATGTGTCTAATGTATGTGATGTGTGTGTTGTGCGCAGAACCGGCCGGGGCTGCTGCGAGACGCAGCCTCGTCAGGCAACGTGCTGCGCCTAAGGCTGCTGCTGCGCGCGTGCCCCTGGAGCGACGAGGAGGTTGCGCATGCGCTGTTCGCCGTCCCGTCGCGCCGCTCCGCCCGCGCCGTCGCTCGCGCCATCGCCCGCGCGCGCCCCGCCGTCTTCCAGGTAAAGCAATGTTGAGTTTGTATTGTGCTTGTGTGCTGTATGAAGATTCAAATATATCCCAACATGTATGCCACAGCAATGTTGAGTGTGCATTTTGCTGAGTATACTTGTGTGCTGCACAGGCGTCGGCGCCATGGGCGGTGCTGAGATATCTCTTATTGTTCCATTATGTTCCAACATGTTTGATACAGCAATGCTGGACGTGTACTTTGTTAAGTGTGCTTGTGTGCTGCGCCGATGTCGGTGCTGGGTGCGGTGATCGTTCGCGACAGCAATGTTGAGTTTGTATTGGGCTTGTGTGCTGTATGAAGATTCAAATATATTCCAACATATATGCCAAAGCAATGTTGAGTGTGCATTTTGCTAAGTATACTTGTGCGTTGCGCAGGCGGCGGCGCCGTGGGCGGTGCTGAGATCTCTCTTAATGTGCCATTATATTCCAAAGAGCAACGAGGGTGTGCCTTTTGTTAAGAGTGTGCTTGTGTGGTGCGCAGGCGGCGTCGCCGTGGGCGGTGGTGGGCGCGGTGATGGCGGAGGACATGGGCGCGCTGCGCGGGCTACTGGACGCAGGGGCCGCTCCCGACCGCCCGTGCGGCCCCTCGGGCGAGTCGCCGCTGCACGTGGCGGCCGCCTGCCGCAGACGCGACTGCGCGTTCGAGCTGATTCTGCGCGGCGCGGACCCCAACCCCTGCGACGAAAACGGCGAAACGCCCCTGCACAGGTAAGCCTTCTTCACTACGTACTCATTGCAGCTAGTAGATTGGCATTTATATTTATATTCCCACGTTTCTATTACTCCGCACGTCCTAATGTTTCGATAACACGTTTTAAAGTAATTCAACATATTGACAATATTTGGCCCACTCGGATTAGAGCATTTTAAAATATCCTTATAAGTAATAGTTAATCATTAAATATAACAATATTGTATTGAAATAGTCGAGTTGTTCAGAAGAGGCTAGCACAGTAGCTTACATCCTCTTGGCAAAGTCGTTCAAATATTGATATTCTCCTGCAACTATTTATTGAAAATAGATGTTTGCTCATGAAATATTTCCTTCAAATTAGATCTTTATAAACACAAATGTATTATTATCGTAAAGTTTCTTGAAATTGGAAATATTTTAATGGGCAAATAAATTTAAAACTGTGCAATTTTAAGAAACGCTGAATCAAAATTTCTTGACAATTTGAAACGTCTTCGAGTGTTGTCCCAAAAATTTTCACATGAAAACAATTTTTGCTCCTTGATGTTCTGGAAGCTTCATATTCATTAAATAATTAGGATTCCTAAAATTTAATATAATTGGTTAGAGATACTGTTTTTTTGATATAACACATATTCAGTATATATTTTACATCAAAGTAGACCAAATCAAATTTTAATTGAATTTTATATGATATTTTACATTTCACGAAGTGAAATTTTTACAGTTAGGTCTTTTGACAGTTAGTTTACAGTTAGTTCTTTTGGCAAACTTAATCGTTAACAAGTACGAAATTCAAAGATTTTTAAGCTAAAGAAACTCCCAAATATTCTTTTTATTGTAACGAATGAGTTGAATGTCATGTAGACATTTGGACATAGTATTGTGAAGCTTATTATTTGAATTAGCTTATTATTAGAATTAATACATCAAAATCTTTATTTTTTCTTAAAAAGCAACGTATGGGAATCACGATGTCCCAAACATTTTAATGAAGAGAGATTTGCAGACGAATGTTGAAATGTTAGAAGTACATAATTTGCAATTAATTAATAATAATTTTACCAATTCTTTGAATTAATTGTAAATTGTTCAAAATGAAATTTTTGTGAACTCAAATGCTTCAAATGGTCTTTCCTGAAGATTATCGAAATCTCAAATATTTTTGTGTGTAAATGAGGTCAAAATTGCGTGATTTCAGAATCGTTCTAATGAAATTTGTTTAAAACTTCTTCCAGTATTGTTCCCAAAATTTCCCTTAAAAAGTTTCCCTGTGTGATATTCTGAATATTTCCTTGCAACTAATTTATTACTATTTAAATTTTAAAAATGTGTAGGGGATTCTGAGTTTTGATGTAACACTTAGTCTGTATTTATTTTAAATCACAGAGAACCAAACCATTGTAGTAATTGAAAGAACGCATACATTTATTAACCCACATTTTCCTAAAAAGTTAGTTCATTTTGAGAAAATTATTCGTATACAAGTGCGTTTTTAAAAGTTTTGTAAGCTAAAAAAACCTCTTACTAATCTTTATATTGCAGCGATTTTGTTGAATGTAATTTAGATATATAGTAGATTTAGTGTTGAGAAGTATATCTCTGGGATTATATACCTCAAAATTGTGAATTTTACTTGTAAACAAACATCTCGAAATCACGATATAATGCAGTTAAAGCAGATTAATGAAAATAGATTTAAACACGTGACCTACATAACGGCTACAAATTGTCCAAGATTGTATGTGCCACGTTGTAGCACCAATAGTAACTATTCTATAACCATAAACTGTTTATGGTTTTAAAATCGATCGGAACGGAGTGGTATCACGTGGTGGAGGTTAACATGGGCTGTGGCAGCTGATGAACCATAAAGCCGCGGGCGGTCTTGGGAACGCTCAATATTACAAGTTCTTCCGCTGGTTGCACAGAAACGTATTAACGCAACAAAGGGGAAAACTATAGTTCGTTAAAAGAAAACGTTTCTTTCTCTTCTCTTTGCTTACAAGGGAATTGTCAATGGATTTTCCGGTCTGCAGCGGAAAGGCATGTGCTGCCTGGATGATTGCCTTAGCGCTAGGATAAAGCTGACTACCTTTCACCGCGGTGACAGGTAGTCCCCTTTTCCATGACCCAACGTTGAAATAATAGCGCACCGAAATTAGACTTCAAGTCGCAGGGTTAAAATAATTTTCATCACTTGTTCTTAGCGTGCTGCTTACTCATTTCTATCATCTAAAATAAAACATAGGAATAAATATTGTTTTTTTAAATAAAATATCAGCAATTTTGAGTGCAATGCACCATCCAACACCACTCGTTACCACAGACACGTTCAAAAGATTCTTTACATTAATGAACTTAAATTCTTGCACAAATTAATGAACATAACTCTCTATTAATTAATTTAATGGAAATGGCCAACATGCGTTACATTTGCTCCATTTTTCGTTCTCCGAATAAAATTTCTCCCTACTTGAAATTTGGATTTGAGAATATCACACAAATGAAAGCTTTTTTAAATAATATTTTTGAGAGTTACTGCATAGGTTTCTAAGAAAATATCGTTTTCAGTCATTCTGAAAATGCAACATTTTTGTGCTTGTTTAATCTAAAAAATTTGCCAATTCCAGAAATTTCATTACTAATCGTGTTAGAAATTTCTGTCAAAAACATTTATGAAGATCGTCATGTAGTGTAAGAGTTCACGACATGCGAAATGTTTCAACAATTACTCCTATATTTTTAAAAAATGCTAAAACTGTCAATAATAGCGCGTGAACTTTGTGACTCTTTTGTGTGCTCTTTGGCATACAAAAGTCTAGAGAAAACAGTTAGAGTGATATTTAAAAAAAGTCTTCATTTTTTGTTTTTGGGAAATTACTCATAATTTGCCACAAAATTACTCAAAAGCTACTTATAAAAGATCTGTAATAAATTCGTTTTAATATCTTATACTGAAGAATAAAATGCCCTAACAAACGAGTGGGGCTGTCTGTGCTGCTGGAGAAAAATTATGCTTAATTCTTTTGTTTTTTATTTCTGCTTGTCTTCGTCTGAGAGCGGCGACGCACAGGGCGGAGAGGGTGGTGTGGCTGCTGGAAGAACCTTTGCTAATTCCTTCTTATTTTCTCTTTGTTCTCGTCTGAGGCGGCGAACGACGGGCTGAGAGAGGGGGTGGGTGGACTGCTGGAGACATTTGCTAATTCTGTATTTTCTCTTTGCTTCGTCTGAGAGCGGCGGACCGCGGCGAGGAGGGTGGGCTGTGGCTGCCTGGAGAACTTTGCTAATTCTGTATTTTCTCTCTTTTGTCTGCGTGCTGAGAGCGGGCCGCGACGCACCTGCGCGATGGAGGGCTCGGTGGTCGCGCACTTGCGTCTGCACCTTGCTGTCCGGAGAACTGTTGCTAATTCTATTTTTCTTTCTCTTTGTGTTTTCTCTGCTCTCCCAGAGCGGCCGACGACACGGGCTTGAAGGAGTGCGGGGGTGGTTGGTGTGGCTGCTTGGTAGAACTTTGTTGCTAATTCTGGTATTTTTCTTTTGTCTCGTCTCCAGAGCGGCGACGCACGGGCGAGGGAGGGTGGTGCTGGCTGCTGGGACTTTGCTATTCGTGTATTTTTTCTCTTTGTCTCCGTCTCCAGAGCGGCGACGGGCACAGGAGGGCGAGGAGGGGTGGATGTGGCTGCTGGAGAACTTTTGCTATTCTGTATTTCTCTTTGTCTCGTCTCCAGAGCGGCGACGCACGGGCGAGGAGGGTTGGTGTGGCTGCTGGAGAAACTTTGCTAATTCTGATATTTTCCTTTGTCTCGTCTCCAGAGCGGCGACGTCACGGGCGAGGAGGGGTTGGTGTGGCTGGCGGGAACTTTGCTAATTCTGTATTTTTCTCTTTGTCTCGTTCCAGACGCGGCGCGGCACGGCGAGGAGGGGTGGTGTGGCTTGCTGGAGAACTTTGCTAATTCTGTATTTTCTCTTTGTCTCGTCTTCCAGAGTCGCGGGCGCGAGGTTCACGGGCGAGGGTAGGGTTGGTGTGGGCTGCTTGGGAACTTTGTAATTCTGTAATGTTTCTCTTTGTTCTCGTCTTCCAGAGCGGCGCGGAACGCAAACGGGCGAGGAGGGTGGTGTGGCTACTGGGAACTTTGCTAATTCTGTATTTCTCTTTGTCTCGTCTCCAGAGCGGCGACGGCACGGGCGACGGAGGGTTGGTGGTGGCTGCTGGGGAACTTTGCTAATTCTGTATTTTCTTTGTCCTCGTTCTCAGAGCGGCGGACGCACGGGGCGAGGAGGGGTGGTGTGGCTGCTGGGAACTTTGCTAATTCTGTATTTCTCTTTGTCTCGTTCCAGAGACGTGCGACGCACGGGCGAGGAGGGGGTGGTGTGGCTGCTGGAGAACTTTGCTAATTCTGTATTTTCTCTTTGTCTCGTCTCAGAGCGGCGACGCACGGCGAGAGATGGTGGTGTTGGCTGTCTGGTGGACTTCGGGGCGGCCGCTATGTGGACGCGCGCTGTCGCCGCATGCAGACGCCGCTCACCGCGCCGCCGCCCACGCGCATGCGCACTGCGCGGAGACGCTGGCTGGGCGTCGGCGCCGCCGTGCTGGCCAGGGACTGCGAGGGCGCCCACGCCGCTGCACCATGCCGCCGCCGCCACCCGCGCCTCCAACACTCGTGCGCACGCTGCTGCAGCGGGGCGCCGACCTCGACGCCAGGACTACAAAAGGTGGGTGCTTCCCTACACCGCAATTGGACACCCTTTCGGTCACGAAAGGCTCCGACCATTTACTCCAGAAGTATGGGCGATCGCAAAAGCGCGGATACACGCACGGCTTCCCCATAACGCCACATCGTTCGCCGAAACGTGCCAGTCGTGTCTATCGATTCACTGATTTTATGTTTAATTTAATTTTGATTGGGATTTTGTATTATTAATTTTTTGCGGGTCAACTAATACGATAATTAGTACTGAAAATGTAGTTCATGGAAAGTTTCGGGAGGTGACGGTTTTCCTTCCTTGCTATATGTGATGATGATCAGCTGCGGCCAACCTGTCAGCTTGCTCCTCGAGATATCTCACTGATCGCTGCGTTGCTCATCTGGAACAAGCTCTAAACTCGCGACATCCTGAGGCGGAGTAGAGCATGTAATGTGTGCTTATGTGTGCGCGAAAGAGGGGGGTGGGGTCAAAAATGAGATGGTCCGCGAGACGAGAACACCGCGTGAGGTCTGTGGGCGGTAACTTAGGGTACCACCACTCGATTCTCCTGGAATTAAAGAAAGAAAACTCAAAAAACTACCGATCAGAGCAGCCGTCTGCTAAAATCCTCCTGGAGATTGTGGCCGAATTCTACCTAACTATTGAACTAGTGTCGAAAATCTGCTATCGTCGAGACTCACTGTATGACCTCATGGAGCCAAAACTTACAGTCACTTCCTTAAACAAATGTCATGCAATGAAAATGGGATCGGGAAAATTCTCCATGAACGCATCCCTACATCAATTGTTTTAATTACATTTTTCAAATTTCGCTCAGCAGAAGTATGAAATGTTATTATATTTTGATCCCCACTTTAAATTTATATTGGTATATTTCTTTAAAAACAACAGCCATATTTGACTCACTTTCCTAAAAACGATTTCATAATACGAGTGATTTGTTTTATGACGAAATGGGCTGGCTAATCTAAAAACATCTTCGCTATAGCTTTACCGAGTACTTCTCTTCATAAACACAGAAAACAAGGTACAATAGAGCTACAGATTTTTTCGAACTGTTCATTATTACTCTCTTTATTATTATGATTAATTCAAAAGGAACCTCCAGAGTACCAGCTTAAAACGTGAGACGGTATACAGTAATTTTCTACTTAACAAATCCACTAATAGTCACATCTGTTATTTCGTTGGTATCTTTTTACAAAATTATATCGTAAATGAATGAATGTTTCCCGAAAAGGTAATAAAAAATAGTAGTAATAATTCTTGAACAATGTATCAATGAATGGTGTGTTTTGCAGGACGGCGACCTGTGCACTACGCTGCGGAGGGCGGCAAGTGCAAAATCATCCGGCTGCTTGCGGAGGAGCATTCGGTTGACGTCAACGCTCGCACCAGAGACGGCAGGACACCCCTGCACATCGCCGCTGCGGGCCATAGGTGAGCACATGAAGCCTCGTTTGCCTCACACACACACACACACTCACGCATTGACTCATTTCTCGGACAAAAATTGCAATGCCAATGAAGTAAATTTAGAATAACATTTTACTTTCAGTTAAGAATATAATGATTCATTATGTTGTCAAGGTCATAGAAAAATATTTTCGGTATTCTAGTTCAAGAAAAGACAATTAAAGCACAGAAGTTAAAATTAAGTCATTATCTTGTTTCTATATTAATATGGCATTTATATGTATTCTAAAGTTTTGATCATCTACTCTACTTCGGTTACGTGCTCTGTTTTAAATACGCCGCACATTTTGAGTACGCGTAATACTTTGCTTATAACTTCATTCTGACCTAGATTTTGTATATTACCTTTTTTTTCATTAGTATATTTAACGCAATATTTAGTACTTTTAACACTTTAGAAATACCCCTAAACCTTTGGCTTGGCAAAATGATATTTGTAGATAAAATAACCTTTAGGTAAATTAATCGAGAGATAACATGTGAATGCTTTTATACATGATTTATACGCTTTTGTTTGATAACAATATCGAATTTTAGCGAGCACTCGCATGAGAAAAACGTTTCTGGCACCTTGAAAGCAATTTGTGATTGCGCGTGTTCACTAAACCTGAAATCATTAGTCAAAAAAGCTTGTAAAACGTGCCTTAGTAAATAATGTAAATTCAGGACATCCGTGCTTATTTTGCTGCAAATTAACATTTTGTTAGCACGCGTAACATTTTCGTTATCTATCCGAACTTGTTTAGTACGTCATGCATTTTGTTTGCTACGTAAAACACTATGTTCAATAGGTCAAACGCTTTATTCAATAGATCAAACGCCTTCCTTCGGAGGGGAAGTAAAGCCGGCTGTCCCATGTTAGTAGATTTAATTGCATGTAAATGATCCTCAAGCCTAAATGACGCCTCTGAGCTAAATTCTAGCTGTTTCTCGCCCAAGAAATACCTCCTTTGGCTGCTAACTGGTGAAAGGAGCGTAGCGAAATTTGCGCTGTCAGACGGAAGAGCATTGCCTCATTGCCAGAGTCTCGCCACGTAAAATAAGGCATAAATTCAATTAAACTCAAACGCTGTGTTCAGTTGACCTTCTTTTTGTTTAGCAGTTCAAACTTTAATACATGAAATGCTTCTTTTAGTAGGTCAAAAAATTTGTTATGAATGTGAAGCACTTTTTTTAATATGTGAACCCCTACATTTAGTACTTCCAACGTTTTGATTAGTTCATTAAACATTTTGGTCGGCACGAATAGTGTTTTGGATGTCCCCAAAATCTTATATTTTTGTGTTCGTGTGTGGCAGCGCGGCGTGCGTGAAGGAGCTGGCGCGGCTCGGGGCGGACGTGCACGCGCGCGACCACCGCCAGATGACTCCGCTTCACGTGGCGGCTGCGCACGGCCGCGCCGAGGTGCTGCGCGAGCTGCTGCGCCTGGGCGCGCGCACGGATCTGCGCGCGCAGAACGACATCACGCCGCTCATGATCGCGGTGGCGCGACGCGACAAGGCGTCGGGTCGAGCGCTGATCCAGGTGAGCTCAGAACTTGGCACAGATGCGGAGGGTGACAAAAAAATGTATACGCACTTCACGTCATAAAACAACTGTCTTAAAATGTCACAAGCGAATTCACGCGAAAGAAAATTGTGAACACTAATCATCTGAGACTTTTACAGCTGTAACTGTTACAAAAGATGCTCCAATTTCCATTACCAGCGTCGATACACTTCTGAGTAGTTGATCAATATTTGATAAAGTGTCCTCAGCGGTTGCAGCAATTACCGTTTCAATTTATTCCCAAACTGCTTCCAGTCTAGCTGGTTTTCTACGGTTTACATCATTCCCAAGACCCTACAGTTTACATCATTCCTCACAGGTCGAAGTCAAACGCAATTAGATCAGGAGAACTTGGTGGCACTGCCAGGCCCATTGCACTGGCTTGGACAAAGAGGACCGATTTAGTTTCTATCGCACCGATTTAGTCTCTTGATCTAAGTCCGTTGGACTTCTAATTGTGGGGAAGACTTGAGTATGTGAACCGTAGAAAACCAGCTACATTGGCAGCAATTGGGGAATAAATTGAAACGGTATTTGCTGCAATTGCTGAGGAAACTGTAGCAAATATTGTCCAACTTACTCAGAAGTGTATCGACGCTGTAGTTGGAATTGGAGCATCTATTGTATTGGTTGTACCTGTAAAAGTCTAAGATAATTAATTAGTGCACATAATGTCGGTTTGTGTGAGCTCAGCTTTGTTACCTTAAGATTTTTTTTTATTTGCGTGAAGCGTGCATGCATTTTTTGGTACCATCTGTATATTAACTACCGTAATAGGAAGGAAAATTAATGTGAAAATAAACTTAAATATTTGAAATTGAAACATTTTAATTAAAGCAATTGTTCAGGCAATTTAAGCTTTTTGTTTGGTTCTTGTTTGGTTTTCTCCTCTGTAAATCTCTAAGCTCTCGAATGTTATCTGACACGAGTTGTAGTATAGTAAGTACAGTACATGTAAGTCAAAGAGGGTAATAAGGGTGAAAAGAGAGAAATCGATGAGAAAATATATCACGTGCTATTCGTTGAACCGACTTATTGATACTGTTCCTGCGTGCGTGGACAAACCACAGAAGACTACCGATGAGAGCAGCCAGCCATTAAGTTTCTCTTTAAGACAGTGGCTGAAAGATATTCATCAAAGTAACCAGTGTTGTAAATGCGTTATCGCCCAGATTCGAACTCTTTAAGAGCGTACGATGGCGCAGATGCAACAGTGTTTCTGCTCAGCTTTTGCTGCTGTCAATTTAAAAGTCAATATTAAAATAGTTTTACATACTTACGAATTAATATAAATTTTCGTAGCCGTAATTGTTTATATTTAAATGAGGAGGGCGTCAATTCAATTTGCATAATGCGGCGTTCCTAACGGTCTGCTTCGTGACCTGCCGGTTGGGTATAACACGAAAACTACGTCCATGAAGTCTGGCTTTTGGGAACCTCGGAAACTATGGGTTCTGTTACTTACGTTCTGAGTAAATTGAAGTCTTTTTGAAACTTCCATTACATTTTTGGTGACGTATCTCTTTTGGAAACCCCAATCCTTCGCACGAGAAATCACAGATATGAAAAATTAGAAATTCATAGAAGAATTAAATAAATTTACATTATGTGTTATGTAAGCCCAAGTAAATATTTCGGTTTTTCTCTATTCAAAGCCCTTTGAAAACCATTACGTTTTTCAAACATATTTTTAGTAAGGAAAGAGTAAATATATTTCTGTGTCAAAACGTCACATGGCTATTCTGTTTGTTAACGCCTGATTTAGATTATTCAGGAATAACTCCAAGTGTATTCTTTTTGTTCACAGGCAGGAGCATATGTCGATGCTTTAACGCGACTGGGCTATTTAGCTCTACAAGAGTCAAGGTGTTACATATCAGACTCCGAGCCAGAGGAAGGAATTGAATTTTGAAGAGATTCCTGCGATTGCACATGTTTCATTCCTTTCTCGGTTTGCATGCATTTTCATATAAGCAATTTTATAATTAAATTCTAAATTGAAAATCATTTGATTTGTATTGAACTATTATCATTCATGAAAAAAGGTGCACACCTGGTAAATTGTAAAAATTTGCTTACGACAAGATCAATATTGTGATTCATTATTTCTGCTCCATTCGTTTAGATACGTTTTTCATATTTTTCAACATTTCACTCCTAGTTTTATACATCTCTTCATAGTATAGTAGAATGTGTATAAGGTGGAAATTATTCATTATTTTGTGATTATTTTTAAAATAATTATTTTACATTTTGCTGCTTCGGAAATAAGACCTGGTAAAATTGTATGCAAAGACCTCGTAAACTGTAAAATTTTCTTCTGACAACAGCATTTTTTATTGCTGCTTTTGTGAATTAATGTAACGTTTATATGTACCTCGACATTTTATTATAATTATTTTATTATTTTTAATATAATAAAATACGTATACTGCAGTAATTTTTACGATTTTGACACTATTTTGTAAATAAAAATTTTACACTTTGCTGCTTTGTAAATAAATTGTGGTAAAATTGTAAATATTTCTTTTGACAAGAGCAATTTGATTTTTTGCTGCTTTATTAACTAGAAATATCCCCTTTTCATGTTTCTCAACAACTTAGTATTATTTATATCTTTGTAATATAATAAAATGTATATATTGTGGTTATTTTTATGATTTTATGACTATTTTATAGATAAATATTTTACATTTCGCTGCTTCGAAAATTAAACGCCACAACGTAAAAGGCTTTTAGATACTTGCACCACATATTGTTCAATAAGACTCCTTTTGTTTCTGAACTACTTCAGAATTGTAATGCGTGTGTGCCTGAAGAGGAAAAAGTTTGAGTTTTTCAATAGGTGCACAATGGTTGATCAATATCCAATTCCTTTCCAAAAAATCTGTTTACAAGTTGTGACGTTTTTCTTCCGAGGTAACGTTCTGCAAAAGAAAAAATGATAAAGCAATTTCCCTATTCTAAATGTGACTATGTTGACTACAAAAGTAAGCTCCAGCATGTGGTTAAATTTTGAATCGTTTAAGTGGTGGTTATTATCTCAATGGATTGATAAAATGTCCCAGACTTTTCTAGATTGGTTAGTCCATTTTCTAGATTGGCCTGATTAGTTCTCCATAGTGAGTTCTTTCAATAAGGTCATGTACATTTTTTAAAAAATGTTAGTAGTTTTCGCGCAATATTGCGCGCAATTATTGTGCAATTAAAAAAACACAAAACCAAGATTTTGTCATAAACAGATCCAAAATTTGTCTCTCAACTTTTGGTAGGCATTGTGCTAAATATACTCCATGACCGTATTAAATATACTGACATAAACGCCATATTGCTCTATTGTTTTTTTTTGTTCAAAACATACAAAAATGGAATTTTTTTGACTTGCTTCTCATGTCGTTAATATTTATATTAGCGCCATTTCAATTTTGTTCACATTATTGAATTTATGTGTATATGTGCTTTAAATAATACCAGATAAAGTTTCCCCAAAACTACCGTTTTCTGTGAAAATTAGCTCAAAACTCTGCAGTTTCAGAAACGCTCAAACGTCATTTTCTCAAAAACGGCTCCAAATTTTGTCTTCATAAATTTCTAACGGATAGTGGTAATTGCACTTTTTAAAAGTTCACTATTTAATACTTTAGTTCATGTCAGTGTATTTTTTTGCTTATTACACAAATGTACATTTTTTAAAGAGATCTCACGCCGTTGGTATTGCATTTCCAGCTATTTGCAAACACTATTGTATCTGTAAGTTTAAGTGCTTAAAATGACTTCAAATGAAGTTTTTCAAAAATTTTTGAAAAAGAGCTTCAAATTTTGAATTTACAGTAGCGCTTAAACGCCAGTAAAGCTCATCCTAAATGGCAAACTTTTCAAAGTTTGCCATTTTGGATGAGGTTCTTTAATAATCCTAAAATAATATTTCCTGTCTACAATCAGGAAACTAAGAAAGCAAATTAAGAGAGCAAATTAAGAAAATGTCAAAAAAATGTGTTTGGGGCCGGGGTAGATGGCAGCTGCCAAGAGTATGTGTTAAGTCCGACTAGCTAGCCGAGTCCAAAAATAAAAAAAATAAAACAAATACGGGAAAGTCTGTGCATTTTTGTAGCACTACTAGTTATAATTTCTATACCACTATTACATTGACGAACCGATGTGGCTACCTTGCTGTATACGTATTAGAAACCTCGCTCAGACCTCGTTTCGTGAGAACCACAGGGTACCACGTGACATCACTTCTGAGTTTTCATAGGTCGATTCCATCAGATCATGTTCACACTTACGCCGTGACCTCTGCTTGGCGCAGCACTTATCAAGCTGTCGCGTCACTTAAGTCCGAGACGAAGTCTCCCTCGCGCCGACAGTACAACGGTGTCCCCGATGCGATAGCCCGAAGTGGATGGTGGGGGCCGAGTTAAAATCAGTGTAGAAATGTGTTTTACATCTCGGGTTCGAATTAATACTTTAGTTTTAGTGTCCTGGTATTAATTTTTTTTAAATCAAGAAGTTTAGTCCGAATCAACTTACTCTGAAACTGAAACAATTGTGATATCTGCAAAACAAAACTTTCGTCGACGATTCAATGCTAATATTCGACTAACAGATGAATACGTGAGTGTGATAAAATGTATTATTTTGTTTTCCTTGCATATTATTTAGCAAGGAGAAAAATGTGTGAACTAAGACCAGATTTTCAATGCAAGTAAACAAAGTTTACAATTTCCTCATTTGTGGATAGATGGATAAACTTGATAATAAATATCCGTTGCCTAATTAAACTATTACAACACGGAGACTACGTTTAGAAGGGTCAAAATTAGTTCAAAATTAATATAAAGCAATAAATGAGAAATCAATGCATTATTTTTCAAGATTATTATTATTATAAATATTAATTCTCTACACCAATTCTCTTGTCTGAACGCAAAAGGCATTCGTATAGTAGACATCGTGCCTCTTCACTGTGCAAAAGTAGTCATTCAACATAGGTACCGCATACGAGAAACATTTATTTACGGTTTCTTGGAATGGAGAATTTTTCGTATCCTTCCTTCTTTCTTTATCAGTGGTTTTAAGTTTTCACACTTACTTGTATATATAGTTATCCAATAGGAATCCAAATAGTTTAAAATATATTTCAATTTAAAGTGAAACGTTGTTGAACAATTTCAGTAAGTGTGTCCAATAATCAATAGAGAAATTTTGGAGACTCCTCGCCCCCTTACGACCATTGCTTTTTCAACACCCTTAAATTTAACTCACCCACTGGCACTGAATATTCATTCATGTAAATTATATGTAACTGAAGTGGAAAGCTGTCGACTAGTGTTTAACATATAAATATTTTATGTATTAAATAGTGGGCACATACCTTTTCTGATTTTTGTTTGATAAACAAAAACAAGTGTATTAATAATTATCCATATGCTTCTAACATACAATTATATCTCACTACTGAGGTAACGTGTGTTGCCCACGTTATAATTCTGGGGTTCTAGGAGATCCCCAGGAATCAAATTCCAACCGTCGCATTCCAACAGATACTGTGCGAATGACAGAGCAAAATTCGAATAAACGCAACTCCGAACAGACACATCACCATTCTAGTTCTACATTTGTCATTATACACACGCCTCCACAATCACACAACTTTCACAATTTTCGGGAGATTAGTTCAGGTCTCGGACAACACGTTATGGTAGGAGAGAAACAATGCCAGTACACGAAAATATCATGACCTAACTTCTGGAACAAACTACCACACGAATTCACGGATCTCAAAAAGGCAATGATGTGGTAACAAGTAACAATGTATTTGGCATTCTAGGGCCGGATTATTCCGACATTTTCCAGCCAGCGGTGTTCCCTATCCTGGACCTTGGTATTATTTATTATCCCCGCTAGGGTAAGGGATACATGTGGCGAAAAAAAAATAACCCTAATATTGTTGTCCTGCCTAATTCTGCCTTTGTCAGACAGCTCTAGACAATGAAACACTTAGTATTGGAATGCTACAATTTCAGTTTTAGCCCGACAGAGACCAAAAACGGTACTGTCTCACTGAAACGTAGCACGCTGACTTTCAGCAAAGGGAAAGCTCAAAAGAACTACCAGAAATATTTTCAAACCGAATAAAAACACTTTTATTACATATTACTGAATACAAAGTTACACAACAATTACAAAAATTACAATAAACAGTATGGAGTTATCCAGATCTACAACTCAATGTTACTATCACGCAAAAATATTCGAGTGTAATTTGTATTTGAAATTGATCGGGACGGAACCCTGACTCGTAGAGCAGCTAAGGCGTGATGACCCAGAGGTTTTGAGGCAGGGCTCCTTTCCCACGTACAGCGGAAGGGAGTGCAATTGGAGTTCGTTGCAGCACGGACCATAGCGTGCAGTGCAAGCAGGATGTCCAAGAGGTTTTGCCGCTGGGATACTTATATTTAGTGTTCGTTGTGAGTGTTCTTTTAGAGTTAGTGTATTAGGTTCGTTGCAGGTCGCACAGTAATGTGAAGAGCAAGCAGCATGACCAATGGGATTTGCCGCTTGCCTCGGCTCCCTATGCAAAGTATAGGGGAGGAGAGGAAATAGGGATTCCATTTATGGTATCACCATTGGGTGCAGAGGTTTAATAGCTGGGCTCCTGCACCCGAACCCGTGAACTGCGGAGGGTAGTTTAAATAGGTTTCGTGCTGGCCGCATCTTTGAGTGCAGAGTTTTAATCGCTGGGCTTCCGCCCCCCTATCCCGCGTACAGCGGAGGGGAATTTGAGTGGTTTCGTTGGTGGTCACACCGTTGAGTGCAGAGTTTAAATCGCTGGGATTCCGTCCCCCTATCCCGCGTACAACGGAGGAAATTTGAGTGGTTTCGTTGCTCGTCGCACCATTGAGGGCAGAGGTTTATCGCTGGGCTTTCGCCCCCTATCCCGCGTACAGCGGTGAAGAATTTAAGTATAAGTAGTTTCGTTATGGTCGCACCGTTGGGTGCAGAGTTATTTCTCGCTGGGCTTTCCGCCCCCTATCCCGCGTACAGCGGTGAAGAATTAAGTAGTGTCGTTTACGATCGCACCGTTGTGGGGTGCAGAGTTTTTTATTCGCTGGGCTTTCGCCCCGCTACCCGCCTACAGCGAGAAAGAAATTTCAGTAGTTCCGTTGGCTGGTCGGCACCGTTGAGGGCAGAGTTTTATCCTGGGCTTTTCGACGCCCTAATCCCGCGTACAGCGAGAAGAATTTAAGTATTTTCGTTGCTGTCCGCACCGTTGAGTGGCAGAGGTAATCATCGCTGGGCTTCGCGCACCTTATCCGCGTAGAGCAACGAGGAGGATAGTAAGTAGATCCGTTGCTGTCGCACAAGTCGTGAGTGCAGAGTTTTATGCTGGGCTTTTCGCCCCTATCC